GACATAAATTTCGGGAGCGTTTACGAGGTTCGATTTGTCGAATGAGCTGGATATGCCGATCGCGAAGCTGAAAATACCACACGCTCGGCACGCGTTTTTTCCTGAGCACAGTGTGTGCGAGTGTTAGAAGACGCGTTTCCGCGCTCCAGGATACTCCGCCGAGTGTAAGAATGTTCCGATGTTCGTATTGATACTTTGAAATATCGGCGCACGGCCATTTGATACTCGATGTTTCGCATCGATACTTCGTTGAGTTTCAATATCGTAGTGTATCGGTTGGCCGTAGATATCAATGGATTCAATATAAACCAGAACATATTTTGACTGTGTTCCGTTATTGCTTGGTGTTCATAAACATATTCTTATTTCAAGGCGGTCTCGAATACTGTCGTTGCACATTAATATTACCTCCTTTTAATTGAGGGTTATTAAAGTGGTGCACAGAAAAAAATTTAATCTCAAGGATAAATATTCTCATATGTAAGGAAGAATATTGTAATCTTCTTAAAAGATTTTTAGTCTTGATTTGATTGAATTTGTAACGATGCAAGTATTACTCACACTCAAAATTCAAGACCAAAAATCTAAGAGTATTCTTGCTTACATATGAGAATATCAATCAATTGATTCAAGACTTGTTTTTCTATATAAAAGACATGTAAACAAGTAAAATTCTCTAATATCGATACATTTATAATCAGTATACCAGTGTATCGGTACTGCATTTTGATTCATATCGATGCGAAATATCGACACTTTATACTCCTCCGTTAAGAATAGTTGATACAACATATCGCCGTAAAAAATATCAATATTTCGTATCGATACATATTGCAAATGACAATATCGATACAGAACAAATATTAAATAGCATTAAACCAATATATTGTAATCGGTATTTACTATAATCGATATTTTTCCTATAATTATATTTACTATAGTCGATATATTACGATACGTGTCGATACGAGATATCGATATTATTTATCACCCATCCCTACCCTCCGCATCTCCCTACAGCCAAGTGGATTTTTGCGAGCCAGCGCGACCAGCTGTGCTTTTGCTTGCGACTTGCTTGCTTGGCTTCAGCCGCGCGCTAAGCACATTTTCGCGTCGTAAATTAAGTAATTTGCAACCGTGCGCCAACCAAGAAAGTGCGAGCGGACGAACGTGTGTGCGCGCGAGCCGGCGGATCGTACATAAAACCACTCCGGAAATTAGAGGTCCCATAACTGACATCTCGCTTTTATTTAACGAGACACTTTACAACGCCGCGGAAACGTTCGTCTCGGTACGGTAGCGCGTAACGCGCGAAGAAGCTTGCCAACTGGTGGAGAAAGGATTACGTGTGGCTCGCGTGAATCGCGAAATTACAGTACGCGCGATCCCGCGCAATTTCCTCGGCGGTGCTAACGGTGGGTTCGATTTCTCACTTGACGATAATATTCGGTCTTCACGATATCCTCGCAATATTTCCTCTCCCGTCGTGCTATTTTATACACTGATAGAAAATTACATCTCAAGCCTCGTTCGAGAAGATTACAACATGTGTAGTAACTTCTCGAGGTACTACGCGCCGTAATCTTCTCGAACGAGGCTCTTCGTATAATTTCGATCGAACTTCGCTTACAGGTAAGTTCGTTTGATCTCCAATTACGGTTAGTTTCAGCGCCAAATATGGTTTTATAGTGGCAACAACGTGCAAGATTACTATCGCTGACACTGTTGTAACATTTACTGGAAGAATAGTTTTCCTGAGTATTTTTACGGTTAAAGAGGTGTGCTTCGGCACACCGAAGCTAACTGTAATTTTCTATCAGTGTATCGCGAAAAGCGGTAAGCAAGGTTGCGATCGAAGATCGCGGAAATTGCGGTTTCTCAACGGTCGGACGGTGAGATCACGCGAATACAGAGGCAGTCGCAGATCTGTTTTCTCTCTTGCTTTAATAGTAATCCTCCTGTAATCCTTTTGATCTTCCGACATTATTTACATTACATTGCGTTACCAATTGTATCACACTTTCAACGCGAACCGAAGACAAAAATACTCGACCGTACAATCAGTCTTAAACACCTCGGCGAAGTAACATATCGTCTTATGCTATGTAGAGGGTGACATACACACGTACACATTTTCTCCAATTTAAATTAGACAGCGCAAATCGCGGAGTATAAATTGAAAAATTGCACGGATAACGAATCGCCTGACTGGGAAAGCGATGTAATTTAAGCCGAAGATTAATGTGTGCCGTGTTATCGCGTCGCGTTAAGCGATGAAAATTCACGAAAGGCGCGATAAAAGTATGGAAGGAAGAGAAAGGAAAATCTGTAAGCTGGATACAATTATCGCCGGGCGGGGAAATAAAGCGATTAAAATACGAACGACGGAAAAAGAGAAAGAGAGAGAGAGAGAAGAGTGAGTCGAAGTGAAGCGAAGGCGAAGTACGAACGTTCGGACGTTCACGCGCGAGTATATTCGACCAGCTGATGTGTTCTCCACAAATGAGCCGGACTCGCCGCCGCCGAGTCGAGAAAGCTCTCCGCCTTAATTGCTTAATTTTCCGCGTCGCGTACTAATCCGGAAAGTTCATCTGTGAAGCACGCTGCCCCACTGCGCTACGCGATCGCCCGGACCGACGGACAGACGATTCCGACGCGCTCGATAAAAGAAATCAGTGCCCATCCTTTTTTGACGAACGAGCCGCGCGTGGTGCATCAATGGTCCTATTCTCTTCAGGCACAGTGATATATCGACAATTTCGAATTAGGTTCTAATTATTCTAAAATTTTTTTTATTCTATTATTCTTATATTCCAACCTTTTTTTATTATTACATATGTATTATTTCTGAATAGTCGTACGCCACAGCTGCTGATCATCCTGTGAGCCTGTGAAAGGATGCTCCGAAGCAGCAGTCGCGGTGCACGAGTATTCGGAAATAATGCGCCTAATTCGAAACTTCCGATATCACTGTGCTCGAGGAATGGGACTCCGATAAGAGGATTTATTTGTTTACCCGGAGTAATCTTGTTTCGTCGCAAATTTGTTAATACCGCACTCGTTGCACAGAGTTAAAAATCCCTTTGCGCAATTGCACACACATTAATGTAGACGAGGACGGTTGACTTGATTCGTAAAACGAAAGAAAAAAGTAACGAATTGTAAAACTTTTTCTTGTTTTCCGAGTAAAGTCAACCGCCCTCATCGGTAATAACGTGTGTATTGTTCAATTGTGCAAAGGGACTCTTAACTCTGCGTAGCCAGCCAGGCGGCAAAATCTAAAACTGAGACATAAGACGTCTTTAAGACATCTTTAAGAAGTCTTAAAGCCGTCTTTAAGTAAGGCGTCTATAAGATGTCTTTAAGATATCTTAAAGACGCCTTATGTCCCGATATTTTAGGTTTTATGTGGTCTGGACAATAACGAGCATAATATTAAATAAATTTGCGGTAAAACGGGACGACTCCAAGATCCCCTTAATATACGGCATTGTACAGTCGATGTCATATATGCTGCACTCCCGAAACGAAAAATGCAGGATGACTGACCGCTGTCGGTTCAAGGCAATATTTTATGCCTTTAGATCCATATTCTGAACTCGCTTTTATCGATAAAAGTGAGCTCAGAATATGGATCTTTGTCTTTAAGCAATGACTGTCTTGTGTCTTGAGCCTTAAGCTACAAAGCCGTTCTGTTTGTGATGACTAACCGCTGTATAATTAAAAAGAAAAAAGTAAAAAATATGGTAATTTAGACAAAGATCGAGAGCATAAAATATTGTCTTAAAAGTATCAGTTGTTCTGCTAAGGCTCTCACACGATTTTCAGACTTGACACATAACGCACAAGATTAAAAATCGCAGAGGTCGATTGGTGAAACGTTTATGGTCCAACAGTTATAACAGTAGTATTATCATAGTTCTAACTATAATAATTCCAACTTAAATGTGGAAGTAAAAAATTGTGTAATAATAATAAGAATTAAAACAATAAAATGAGATGATAATAAAATGCTTAAAAAGTAGTAGTAATAATATGTTAAAAAATTAAGGTGATAAAATATAACAAATTGTACACACAGTCAAAGTTCCAGTCTGGGGAATGGTATGGTGTATATGACGCCGACTGTACGATTTTTCTCTTTGCGGGCGCGATCGGCCCGCAAATGCGGCAGTGAAACTGTAGACGGGAAAAACGCGAAACGAACCCGAAAAGGAGGAGCCTGTCTGCCCTTTGAGGCGGGCAACGCTCGCGGCTATTCTTAGGTTCTTAGACTATTCTTTATCGGTCGCGGTGTCTATTTGCGTGTATCACTCCAAACATCGACGAGGCTCTCTCTCTCTCTCTCTCTCTCTCGGAATCCCGTATGATCGCAAGCGACCGCTCGATCTCGCACAATAGCGACGCGAGAACAAACAGCTCGTTATTCGCGCCAACTCGTTCGGTTTTAATTAATCGCACATCGTTATGATAATAATGAGTCTCGGTGAGTCCGGAATACCGGATCAGCGGATCCTTCGTAAAATGAAGAAACGCGCCGACTGCCGCACTTTTCCGAGAGTCCTTTTCCGCGTCGGCACACCCGGCCCGACGATGATCCTGTTTATTCCTTCCCGATTCTCACTGCGTTTCATTCGCGGATATACAGTGAGAGAATTTAAACATAATTATAACATACGTTTAATTCAATGCAATCGGTAGTTATTGCGTTCCTTTGATTCGCTCTCTGTTTGTTGTCGCACAAGTTTCGCTCGAGTTTAGCGATCTCTGCAATCACCCGTAGTCGTGACTTACGATCTTCGGCTGATAATTTTTAATGATCTTTCGGTTGGCGTTCCGCCAAATGTGATTGGAGATATCGGCTCGAGCTAAACGAGTATCACAAAGCTCACGTTCGAAAACGAGTGAGACGTTCAATGATTCAAGCGGAGAAATTTAATCGCGTACAATTTACAAACCTTCCGAAACAATGATGTTTACATTGAACGTGTAATTAACAGATCAAGGATATGGGCTACGCCATCTTGGAGGACTTCCTTCGGCCGCACGAGATTGAGGAATTGAAGGCCGGCGGGCAAGAATTCACGAAAAACCTGCCACCCGAGTCGGAACGGAGTGTATTCGACACGATAAATTTACAGCAGGTGAGATTACAACGAGTAACCCCCGGAATCGATGGAAAATCAATACGCTGTGTATCCTATTATTCCTTGAGAAAAATGGTAACCTTTCTTTTTTATCAACGAAAAATAGATACAGCTAATGAGCGTTCTAAGGCGCTATTTCAGTTCATTTTCCGCCGATTCTTAGACACTCTGTAAGATACACTAAGCCCGGAACCGAGCTGGCTGTTCGAAATAACGATCGTTTCTTCTTTAAGGCTAAGGATCACTACTTCCTGGAGAGCGCTAACAAAATAAGCGTGTTCTTTGAGGCTGAGGCTTTGGAGAAAGATGGGAAGCTGAGAGTAGATCCGGAAGTGTCGCTGAACAAAGTCAGTATATAAATAAATAAATCAAGAAACTCTTCCTCTTCCCTTCGAAAGATCAATTTCTCGTGTGTGTGCACGCGAGAATATATATTATCATTATTACACGATACATTACAATAGTAGTAACTATTTAATAATTATTCACTAATTATGAAATGGTTATTACTATTTAATAATTATCTCGCATATTCGTCGCAGGTGGGTCACGCACTCCACTGGTTACATCCCACTTTCAAGAAGTATACTTTCGACGAGAGGGTCAAGGAAGTCGCTTTCCAGCTTAACTATAAAGAACCGGCGGTATGCCAGTCGATGTATATTTACAAGAACCCGGCGATAGGTTCGGAAGGTAACTAAATTGCTTGCCTGCTCGCTCGCATCTTTCATTCGCACGTGAAACACAAAGCGGCGAGATGCCACTAGTGGCTCGATGCATACACAGACCTGTAATGCGAAATGTAATATAAATAGCGGCCGCGTATACGCTATATTAAAATGACAATTGGGAATGATTACACGTCGTTACAGTGACAACGCATCAAGACGCAACGTACTTGTACACCGAGCCGGTAACACTGTTGGGCTTCTGGATCGCGCTGGACGACGCTACGCAAGAGAACGGGTGTCTATGGATCGCGCCGGGCTCGCACAAGAGCGGTGTGCATAGGCGTTTCGTGAGAAACAAAGAGCCGGGCGAATTGTTAGTTTTCGACAGAGCGGCGCCCCATTATTCGCAGAGCTGCTTCACCCCCATACCGGTGCGCAAAGGCACTTGCATTCTCCTCCACGGTCAGATTCTTCATCTCTCCGCTTCGAATAGAAGCAACGTACCGAGACACGCTTATACCTTTCACGTAATCGAAACTAAAGACGCGACCTACGCGAAGGACAATTGGCTGCAGCCGCCCGCTTGTGGTTTCGCAAAACTCTATCTAAATTAGATATATCGTACTAATTAGGAATTAATGTACGTGGAGTACACGCAACATACCACACATGTATTCACAGGCGCGCACACACACACACACATACACACAGACATACGTATATAAGCGTCGACGATCTTGCTACGGCTGTGCAAAAGAATTTATTTTTCCATAGCAGCGTATAAGAAAAAAATAACATTTCACGTGTGCAACTTAGCGATGATAAAGAGAAAGTAATATTTTAAAATGAGGGAAATATCACAGTAATGTCTACAGTAATAGTTACTATTCTACGTCGTCATCGTATAATATAACTTGACTGTTCAAATATAGCGGGTAAAAACAGAGGGACGTTCATAATTTTCTAATCGATTTATATCAAAAGAGAAAAGTGTCGTTGTGTAAAGTTATCTATCAATATTTATTGTTATAATGCTTATTAATGTATCAAATAATATACGAAGAGTATTAGTATATTATTCTAACATTTTTCCTTTCTATAAGCCTTATCCAAAAAAAAAGCACAAAGTGTATGATTCTTTGTATAATTCTTTTAATATTTATATGTCATATTTCTTTCACCCACCATATTTTTCCTAATATCAGTTATTCTTTCTTAATAACCATAGTTCTAAATATATTACGTTACGTCCTGTTTACATGTGCTTAGAAAAAGAATTATATATTATCATATGATAAATATAAATTTTTATGTACAAAGATTTAAGTATAGTGCGCGATAATGTGTACCCAAATCCTGCAGTTGTCTTAAACCAATCTTCAATACCTCCTCTCTTAACGTGACACAGTAAAATATATCCAAAAGTCCCAGATCATTTGGTAGTGTTTCTACGTAAACCAAAAATGCATTCAAGTCTTGCTGCAAATTAACCAATGTCTGATATTTTATAGAATTATTTTCAGCTTGCACCAGTAACCTAATTATGAAAACAAAGGATACGAAATGGTTATTGTACATCATTGTACACACATAGAATTATATATCAACTGTCAAAGAATAACATACTTATTTAGATTATGTGACAAATTCGTCACTTTCTTGCTAATGTCCGGCTGCAAACGTTTCACAGTTGCCTGCGACAATGGTGGATTTATAGGATTGTAGTTGAGAGGAAAAACTTTGCCTGCGATGTTCGCCATCGTACCACTATAAAATATGAATAAAATAATATTCAATCATAGATGAAAATAAGAGCTTTATTGTTATACATTATTATTACACGTCACACCTGCACATGATAAAATATTAAAAATCATAAAAAATAATCAAAAATAATTCAAATATCAACGATATATATAGGTTTAATATATAATTATATAATATATATAATTATAATTATTTTTTTATGATAAGATATAATTATTTTTTGTGAATATCCATACTTTATATTAATGTAAAGAATTATCTCACCATAAGTAAAGAATTATCTCACCACAAGTCACGCGCGTAACTGTAAATTTGCTTAAAGCTTTGAAGTGTTTTCTCCGTTTTCTGCTCTTGTATTCGTGCATCCTCTACAATTCCTATTTTGTCGTGTAATTTTTTCCGATCTAGCTCAGCGATGTACTTGAGACATTTCTTCTTGAGTTCCTAAAATTATTAGTTTTCCAAGTTGCGCTTTTAGTTGGTTGATTAGTTTGCAATAGTTATAATGTATTAAGCTGTCGCAAGATATTACCGTAATAGCATTAAACGATTGTACCATAAGCTCATAATGCTTGTCCGTATTGATCCCTTGTATTAGATCACTGCATTTTTCCAAGATACATTCTACGTCTTGCAACTTTCTGCCACCAACTGAAAATAATTGCCGTTCAAAAAATTAATATGGAACTACCGAATGCAATATAATTTTCATTACTTGTGTAAATTACATATATAGACATATACCCGGTAGACGTTCAAAGATTTCAAGTAATTCCCGTGCGGTAGGCTCAACGTGTCGCTGAAACGATCCGTTTATAGCAGCGATCCAGTGCTTTACAATGCATTTTAATGCAGTCACTACAGTCCAAGGTGGTTTTATAATGACGTATGTCGCCCATTCTGATCCGTAAATTTCTTCCATCTGTTTAACGATAATCTAAATACGACAATATTTATTGAATATCATTTTTCCACCATATCACAAATCTCTACTATTATAGATAAGATAAATCCAGAAAGAATACAACATATATTGTATAGACAGCCATTGTTAGAAGAAAGAAGCGAGTAGGAAAATGTCTGTGACTTTAGATAGCTTGGTAGTCTAAAATAGTTTTGTTTGAAAGACGAGCGATTCCAGTTTTTTGAATATAAAATAAAGAAAAGTGTGAGAAGTATACGTTACCGTTGAAGCGAGACCTTTCATGACCACTTTTGCATCCTCAAAAAGCTCGTCCGCGTAAGTTAATTCTTCGCTTACGATAGAATGTTGAATGTTATTACTCAGAGGATTCATTATTTTGTCATATGTGTCAAAATCATCTAATTTTTCAAGAGGATCATTTCGTCCCAGAGTCGTTATACAATGTATCATCGCTTTAGTGCAGAGATTCTTGTCGTATGACAATAAAACCTACGTCCAAAATGAAACAATGAATAGAACAGATTTAATCATCAACGCATCATACGCGTGTACACGTGTTATAAGCACACACGAAATCTTACCACATCTTTTTTTAAATTTCTAATTTGTAAACAACATTGAAGTATTTCGTCATCCGGACAATCAAGGCAAAAGTTTTCTTTACTCGTAGCCGCTTGCTCCCGTGTTTGGCCTACTATACGTGGATGCTTAGAAGCAAAATGATCATTAATAAATGATATAGCCTTCCTGGCTTTTGTACGTAAAGCTTCGGATCTGGATTTATCATCCTTCAGGTAGTCTAATTCCTGCAGATGTGTCACATGTGGAAATAATCTCGTATATATATATATATATATATATAGCGTCAATTTTTACATGAACAATAAACCGTTCGTTATATTTATTATTCTATACTTACACGTATGACAGTCCATGGAACCACGATGAACGGACGTGGGTAATTCTTGAAAGCGGTATCTCTTGCTTGTTCAATAATTTCAAGATTTGACAAGAACACATTTGTATCGATAACAATGTACAGTGGACCTTTCTCCTTTGATTCTGAGGGGTGCGTCAACACCGTATTTTCTAACGGACAGTTCGACAACACGTTCACGCAATTTTTATCGTTAAGCTGTGCTCTGACAACTTCAATCTGTATCAAAAAGAAATATGAAATGTGGTAGATCCTTTTCCAAATTAACATTTATAAAACAAATCAAAGGTAATAATTTAGGCTCCGTGAAGTTACGAGATCAGAATATTTAATGGCCATAAAGAACCAAGCACGGATCGTTCAGTGCTATGTAACGAGTATTAAAAGCTCGTGACCCGTTTGGCTTTGTGTTCGCGCGATTTAGTACTCCCGCCTTGACTATATTTAGATATTCAACCTCGCGACTGATATCAACTATGTTACTACTATATTCATGTTTCCACTGAAAATGATCTGGTTAAGGACTGAAACGTTTGGATTTTTATATTAATAAAAATTTGATCTAAATCTTACAGATACGAGCTTTTAATATTTGCTATATAGCAGTAGACGATCAATGCTTGCTTTTTTATGGCAATTAAATGATCTAATTCTGAATTGTTATAAAAAATATTTATAAATTTGTATACACACACATACATGGTTATTGTATAGTTAGAAATATCCAAACACAGATTGTGTCTTTAACATTCGAAATATCATCGTGACATTTTAATCACAGAGATAATTACCTCTAATGCAATTTCTTCATCTTTCATTGGTTCCCAGTCCATTTCTTCGTACAAAACTTCCCGGTTGGTCTCTTTCATTAATTTATTTTTTGTTGCAATACCGATATCTGGTTCATTATTTTGTTGTCTTTGTAATTCATTGTTGCTCAATGTAGAATTTCTTCCATACACCGTTTCCTTCAAAACTCTGTTATGTAATCTTTTAAGTCGAACTTCAGCATTCTTATGAATGCTCATCGATGCAATATTTCCACCATCTATGAGACATAAAATATTTTCGGTAATATTACTAGAAAATATATAAACATTTCAAAGATATCGCGAAGAATATAAAGTCTTATACTTACCGTATGAAAAAGGAAAAGTCTTGTTGAGTATTTCTGAAGGTACTTCAGTAACACAGTCGTCTGTATGGTTCTGCATCTCCTGACTCAAACTTTTTCTTAATTTTTGCATACGATCTTGTGCAACGTTTTTGATTGTTTGACTATTTCGTTTTTGCTTAACATCGTGTTTATTCCAATCACTTCTTCTATTTGGCATATTCTTTTCTTGTTCTCCCGGTGTTTCCACTAACGTTTGCTTCATGATTTTTAGCTCTTGCTTACCTTTCGAATCTCCTTTCGCTTTTTTATTTGTATCAAATGTACTCGCATTTTTTTGGATCTTCTCATAAAGAACACGCATTTGCGGTGTAAGTATCGTCCTATTGTCATTTTTACCCAAAGATGTCATTGCTTTGCTGTATCCTGAAAGCATTGAAGATGTGTTTCTCGAAGATGAACTTGTATCATTGTCTTCTGTCAATTCTGAATGCGATCTTTTGGACGATAAAACAGTTGTTTTATTATTTTCCGTCGGTTCTGAAGATTTCTTTGAAAGCAACGGATTCAAACTGTGTTCTTGATTTTTGATCGAAGGCTTACTCCTTACCGCTGGTTTTTCCAATTTTCTTTGGAGAATCTTTTCTCGTAGTGCCTTCATTTGTGGTGTATCATTCTCCTCCACTAAGAGCGTTTTAAAAATATTACTCAAAAGTGTAAACACTTTGAAGATATTACAAAATACAAAGTTTTATACTTACAGCACAATACAGAACGATATTTGTGCAATCTTTCTGAAGGTTTTTTAGCGATTACAGAACAGTTGTCTTCTTTATAATTTTGCATTTTATGACTTAAAAGTTTCTTTATTTTTTGCATACGATCCTGTGCCAGGTTTCCCTTTGTCTGATTACTTCGTTTGTCTTCTACTGTTTTCTCGGTTATTTGAAAATGCCATTTGTTACTCAATGACTGCTGTTGATCCAATATTTTATCTCCAGCAGAGTCGCCTTCAGGTGTTTTTGCTCTCGAACGTTCTTCCCCTTCGTCATAATTTTTACGTCGTTTCCTAACGTGTTCTAAGGACTGTGTAATAGATCAGGGTTAGGACAAAGATATATACAAATACGCAAGTAAACCTCTGCAACGTTATGTATCTAAATAAAAATACTATTTAAAAATATCACTAAGATAAAGTAGTAATAAAAGAAACTAATGTACCTTATCACTGGCTTGTTCCAACATAGGCTCTTTCCACATGGATTGCTTTGTTTTTACGTTGAAGTAATATATTCTATCTGGGTGACTCTTCGAGTTGACGACAATCCAATTCTTCGGAAGTTTACACTTTTTCATATTGAATGTCAGATTACAAACATATACAGATTACAAACTATTATTCGCCAACGGTGTGAGTGATCTGAAGGCAATTTGTCACGACGTAAATACGCATATAAAATAGGTTAGTATATTATGAGAGATACGAGATATCCAACACAAACATCGTATTGTACCGTATATAGTGTGTGATTATTGGTCGCCCCGAGGTTTTCGTCCAGAGTACGCATCAAGTAACCAGATGTTTCAAAGATCTCTCTGCTTAAAATGTGAAAATATACGAATAAAGTGAAAACATTTTTTCTCAATGCACAAGGGATTGATTTTGTATCTCAAAGCGAAAATGATAAGTGAACGAATTTACCAGAATATTTATATGGCCTGTTCTTTTTAGCTGCACTGTTGAACTAGTGCTATAAGTTGAAGTGAGACAAGTATATGTTTTCTCACTTCAACTTATTGCACCAGTTCAGCAGTGCAGCTAAAAAGAACAATAATTTCATTGGTCAATATCTAGTAAATCTGTTCACTTTTGTAAGCCCGGATCTATGAAGCGGGGTTTACAATAAGAATTTAAGCTCTAAGCCTTAAGAAATTAACCAATCACAGTCGAATATGAGGAGAATAATTAACTGATTGCACTTCCTTAAGACTTAAAATATTTATTCTAAACCGGGACTGATTGGTCAATTTCTTAAGAGCTTAAAGCACCTATTGTAGGCCGGGGACTAAGGCCGATATTCATAGTCGGATCTTATATTTAAGACTGTCTCAAGTTTATCTTCAGCTGCTTTGTAGCCAACGAAATGAGCCGTGAAGCATCTGAAGATAAGGATAGACTGTTTTAAATATAAGATCTGACTATAAATACAGGCCTAAGACTATCTTTAAGTACAAGAACAGACTATGAACGAGCCTTAGTGCGCACTAATGTATCCAATCAAACTCGTTATATGTAAATTTCTTAAACTAGCGCAACCAATTCAGCTAATAAAAAGAACAGACTGTATATGTGCAGAAGCCTTTAAATTCTCATGTACATCACCTGATTTTGCAAATGGCGATTGACGCGAGATTTGGTAGGTTATCGAGACTTGTCAAATATTAGCCGTGTCGTCATCGCCAAATCATGACATCCATCAGCGAAGTCGATGCTGTACCTAAATCGAAAAAACCATCAGGTAAGCATTCAAAGAACTAATGAAAACAAACATTAAATTAGAAAATACATCGATTTGATGTTTACTGAGCTTTCGTCCAAATTTTGTATTTCCTCCTTGTATAACAATACGTCATACGTGTGCGATTAAATCTACCACGATGTTAATAATCAATAAAACTAATGATTTTGATGAGTTTGTGAAAGAGTAGAGATATGTGTGTTTAAAGTGTAATATCTCATTAATACATATATATGACAATATATGAGATTTGAAGGAGAAAATATACATATAATCAACATTTGATTATGCAGATAGTGCATTCAAACAGCAAAGATTACCAGCCTGGCAACCAATACTGACTGCTGGTACAGTTCTACCGACGTTCTTTGTGATAGGAGTTGCATTTATACCAGTTGGCATAGGACTGCTTTATTTCTCCGACGAAGTCAAAGAACATATTATAAATTACACCAATTGTAATTCTACCAATATTACTGGACTCAATGGACTGCCTAGAAGATGTGCGGATGTAATCGCGGAAGACCCTGGCAAAGATTGCTTTTGCGAGGAAAATTTCACGCTACCTGTAGACTTCCGTGGAAAAGTTTACATGTACTACGGCCTGACAAACTTTTATCAGAATCACCGTAGATATGTCAAGTCTCGGGATGACAACCAATTGTTAGGTCACTTGAATTCTGAGGCTGTCTCTACCGATTGCGAGCCGTTTGCCTATACAGAAATAAACGACACTCTTGTCGCAATTGCTCCATGTGGGGCTATCGCAAATTCACTTTTCAGTGACGAATTAACGCTGCTTTCCGCGAGACACGACAATAGCAAAGTACCATTATTAAGAACCGGCATAGCTTGGCCCTCTGATAAGAATATCAAATTCAAAAATCCTGAGGGTGACTTGAAGATAGCATTTAAAGATTTCGCCAAGCCTAAAAATTGGAGTAAACATATTTGGGAGTTGGATCTCGAAGATGACAATAATAATGGATTCCAAAACGAGGATTTAATTGTATGGATGAGAACTGCTGCACTACCTACTTTCCGAAAGCTCTATCGCAGAGTTAACCACAATAAGAATGGTTTCACCGAAGGTCTAGTTGCAGGGAACTATACCCTTAAAGTCAAATATTGTAAGCGAAATATTGCGAATTAAATATTATAAGTACGTAAGGAGAAAGTAATGTTTAACAATTGTTATTTTCTTTTTTTCTTTTTAGCATTTTCAGTGTCAGCCTTCCATGGAACGAAATCAATGATTTTAAGTACAACTTCACTGTTGGGAGGAAAGAATCCTTTCCTTGGTATTGCTTACATTGTTGTGGGAAGTTTATGCTTGCTGCTAGGCGTAGCATTACTGATCATACATATCAAATGCTCTAAAAGGTAACGACTATATCCATATCTCTTATCTCTTGTTATCTCTTGTTCACTTCCATAAACAATATACATATGAAAATATTCTGCTTAGTAACAAATGTTACTAACTATGTATGCGATAAATGGATAACTGTACTAGTTGTTAATCAAGTCAAGAGACACTCGTGTCATAGAGACACTCGTGAACAAAATACATGTTAATATCTTCGTTCACAAAAACGTGCAGAATTTTGTGTAACGTGAAAGTGCACCACTAAGCATAGCGATTTTAGACATTCGTGTGTAATTTATACAACAATAATTTGTCGAGTGGAATTGTAAGAAGAAGATATCTATATACTCAATATCTTCTCGTTCATTTTGATTACAATAGTAATAGATAATATAATCTAATATATTTTATACAGCAAACTAATGTAAAGACGACTACAACAAAGTATTCTTAGGGCACCATATATGTTCTTGTAAGTGTTTGTGATATTGTGTTATGTCTATAACCGACACATGTTGTTTTGTATGTGAAATATGACCAATCGGGCGATGTCAGTTATATAATTTATTGCTTCAGAGTATCTAGAAATGTGTATCTTAATAATATCGAGCAAAAATATATAAAATAATACCATGCTCGACTAGTCATATTTAGTGCATTCTATGGTTTGCCAGGACATGTGTATATATTTTTCATTGTATTTAATTGCTATGTAGATGTCAGAAGAACTGAAATTTTTGTTTGAGATACTATACATACAATTTTTTATTTCACACGAAACTGAAGTAGAAATAATTTTTCGCAGAATAACAGTGTTTATTTTGTTAATTGTGTAACTATAAAATAATTAAAGGGACAAAAATATTTTATATTCATGATATAGTCATCGGAAAATTAACCACGTGAAAATTAATAAGTGTAAAATTATATAAACTATTTGCCCAAATAGTGTCATCTTGTCATGTGCTTGTCTTATGTGTTTTGCTTTTTATATCTAGGTGAATATTTCATTGATTTGAATTGATTTGAAACTGAAAAAAATACGAATGGAATATGAGATGCATGTAGCATGTTTTGAAGAAAACATTTGAATATGCTATTGTCATCTTAATTTATATACGTGTGTGTGTGTGTGTGTGTGTGTGTGTGTGTGTGTGTGTGTGTGTGTGTGTTATATCTGAAAGCATTTTGATTTCTCTTATGCTTTTATATCAATTGAGATTCATTTCAGTAGCAAGTCGAAGAGTATAAATTTATATTTACTATTATTACATACATATGTTTTCTTTTCTTTTAGCACCGCTGACATGATCAATGTAACCCCAACTATGGAATACCATTAGGATTGGTTCCTCCACTCGAAATAAGCATAATTTTATGCCGTAGATAATTATTGATTCATATATTAATTCAAAGTACATTTTCGTTTATTTAATTTATTATTACGAACGAAAATACCAATAAAGATGGTATACACAGTAACTAAACAGAGATCAAAAATGTATTAAGAATCTAGTTTTTTTTAAAGATTTTTAGCCAAGTTTCAGTATTAATATACGAAGTGCCCTGTATTACGGATATTCATAGCTGTATTATTTTGAGCTGAAAATTATAACGTCACGCAAGCTGCAGGGATTTGAAGTAATAATGTAATCGATAATCAATTATCCACAGAAGGTCACAGTCAATAAGTGATTGGAACGTTATGAACATCTTTTCGCAACACGTATATACATTATATATATTATTATATAATATTATGTATAATACATATATAATGTAGCACAGCCAATATGACGAGTATTAACAAATAATTATACTGTGCTGAAACGAGATGTTCATGTCGCAATTTTGTTATCTGATCCTTTGTTCCATTTATTTACGGAAAAAATTATCACAAAATATTCTTTTGAATTAAGAAAGGGTATTGTGAAATATTTATTAGTGTGTCTTTAATACGACATATTTTACATTGCGTTCATATATAACCAATTCAACCTTTTAATTTCGAAACTACGATATTAGAAGTACGTAAGGCGAAACATACTTCATAAGCAACCGTTCGAATGCGCATTGAACGTTTCCTTATGATCTCACGTAATACAACAGTTGTGACATTATTTCGTAAACCTTTCTGTACAGTTTTCATTTCGTGTTATTTTCAATGCATCGGTGCGGTGATTACGCCCGATAATACGATATCAATTGTCTGTTTGTTCGATAGTTGGAAAACCTAATTATATTCGGGATGCGCGGGCGAAAGTCTCTTCAAACTGTTGTATTTTGCGAGCGGATATATCATATTAAGGCCGTTATTCAAAAATTAATATTTGTTATGTAAAGTTATGTAATTATACTTTCACATTCTAAAAATTTATGTATATTATGCATTTGTAGTTTTTAGCTCCTCCTCTGGATGCTTTAAAGATACCAGATATGTAGGAAGAGTAGATATATATAGAATATTCTATTATACTTCAACAAATTAATTACGTTGTGAGAAACGGTACATTACGATGCGTACAATTTCAATGATTTCAATGATGATTATTTCTTTACTTTAGTACGATGAAATGATTTGTTATTATTATTAAAATCGCTTTGACATTATCAAAATTGATTGTATTGGCCAGATGATATAAACTTTGAATATCACATGCATACACGACAATATGTGTATGCGTACAATGGTACGCATATAAAGTGTGTGTGTGTGTATTTAATTTTTTTTTTTTTTTTTTTTTTTTTACGGACATTCGATCAGTGGCACATATTTCAATCGAATTAAGATTCCATTTGACGAAAGTTAATCATGAATCACTATATATATTTCTATATGTATCATCCAGTACAATTTAGATTTATCTACGGAGATAACATTGTTCTCAGAATTATTATTGCGATATTCTGAGCGCAGTTTTGCTTTACTGTGCCTTAACTAAGAACTATAGCATACTATTCTATAAACGTATTGTACATTATTACACAACGTAACAACTAAAGATATCATTAGAATATGTATGTGTGTGATTACTACAATTACTCTGTAATGGCGGCGGACCGCCCGTCAAGTGAAATTGTAGTAAAAACGGAACACTTGTGAAATTAATCTAGTCGACTGTGGATGTAATAATAAATAAACAAATAAATAAAAAAAAAAAACATTAAAACTATCTTCCGACTATCGTCGAGGTGCGGTTATATATAATTATTGCGTTATAACTGTGGAAAGTGTAAGCGAAAAAAGAAGAATATTCCAGTAATGAATCATTTACTTGGGAACGAAACTGATCTATTTTCATTCGATGAAGCTTTCATACAATCCGCGGATACTCACGATTACGAGTTTTCCGATAAAAAGCGCGTGAAACGGTGGGTCTCGGTGTGCGCGGGCGTTTTGAAGAGCTTCGCCGAGCGGTCACCCACGGCTCACCTGCGGCTCGTCGATCGGCAGGAGAAGCGATTCGTGGCGGAAGATAGACAATCGTAATTATGCGATACGGTGTATCGCCTTTTCCCGTTCGGCCGGTGTGTGTCAAACGCGTTGAAAAGCGATTAGAAAGCGACAAAATGTCGCGCGCAACGCTCGTGCGCGAACGGCGGCGGCAGGCGGAACGAGTCCTCGCGAGAGGGGAGGGGTATTTTCGAGCGCCATCTTGCCCCGTAACAACTACTAATTCGTCAGTGCCTGTGAATGGACTTGTCATAAGTGTCTTATATTATTTCGCCGCCGCGTTCTCTCTCCCCCGATCGTTTCGAGATCGTTCCGCGTTTTCAAATTCCCCGGAGTGGTACACGCAAGCAAGGTGAGTACCAGAACGCCACGTTGCCGTCACGTCGTCGTCGTACCCTGTATTTGTGTCGTCGTAGTAGTCGTCGTACTCGTAGTCGTGCTCGTCATCGTAGTCGCGCTCATCGTCGTCGTCCCCGTGTCACGAGGACGCTGCGAGTACGCGAGGGGCACACGGTGACGCGCCGTCGTCCGCTTCGGTCCGCAGACGTCACTCCGCCGCGAAAGAGAGCACCCGCGGGGGCTGCTCCACGGGAACGTTTACCTCGTCCGCAGCCGACGACGACAGTGATAATCGTCGTCGCGATGCGTTACGTTGCGACGCGGCCGCACCCGTTGCCGTCCTCGCGATTTCCTCGAACTCAGCCTCGAGAAGGATACAATATATCGATATTCCGCAATTGAAACGTGTCGCGCACGTAGAAAGAGACAAAAGATCGAGCGGGTGAGTGAAGAGGAGGAGGAAGAAAGAAAGAAAGAGAGAGAGAGAGCGCGAGCCTAGTAAGTGTATGTGTACGTGTGTTCGCGCGTGACACGCTCCTCGACGACTCTTTATCAGTGTGGTTGCGTTTAAAGAATGATGGTGCGCGCCTCGACGCAGGCAACGAGGTTGCTCTTTAAACGGGAATGCGTCCGTCCGTTTTTTGTCGCCCGCTGACGTTCGTCGGGCGAGTGAATGAGCGAGCGAGCGAATGAGAGAGAGAGAGAGAGAGAGAGCGCGCGCACACGGAGCGCTTCTTCCTCGTCACGGCGCGCGTACGCACGCATGAGAAGAGCGTTCACCACCGCCGCGGTGATTTCTCGTGCGCGACGACCAGGAGGAAAGCACCATGCGCGGCGCGCGCGCACGGAATCGACCTCCTCGCAGCATTTAGCAGTAATTGCACAATAGTAATAATTTCCTGCTTGTTTCCTGCCCGTCGACGCGCCCGTGGCTCCTCGCGCGCGTCGTTGCATCGCGCTCTCGCTGCCGCGATGATTTTCCTCGAGCCCGCTGGAGATTCCTATGCGGATCCGATGTTCGCCCAAGTGTGCGCCTTGAAATATCTCGAGGCAAGCTGCGAGATTAATTTTAATAACGCTAATGGCTCGCGTTAGTCACGCGCTGATACACTCCGCGAACGTGGCTCTCGTGCCGACTACGCCGTCGACTCGTGTACACTTTAATCGTTACGATATTAACGCATTCGCGTCACCCGTGACGCGTTTGATCTCTCGGCTCGTGGCGAATATTCGATCGAATTATATCGAGGGACGGCAGAGAACATTGGTCGATACCTTCACGGTCAATGGTATAATGATATTAACGTGACGGCAAGAAGCCTCACAGAAGGTCCCGCAGAGTTACCGCGGCTCAGCGAGGTTTATAGGGTAGGTCTCTCGCGATCGGCGTTCTCGGTATTTTGACTTTTAGCTTCTCATTTCGCGCCGGCAGTCGTGAGTAGAAATAATATCTTGCGCAGTCATCCTCGCAGCAACGACGCGAGGAAAACACGTTGCTCTGTGGATACAAGCGTGTATTTTGTACACCTGTCATGATTCCAAACGCGAACCACGTTCGAATAATCTTGTTGCATTGCATACTGAGATGAACTTAAGGGAATTATTGTTGCGACAAGTTTTATTTTATCACCAGTACCAACGAGGCACAGCCAATAATTTAGGGGGGAATCCTAATATTTACAGATCTTCAGGGCTAATAGCGTTCAGCAATATTTAGATCATCATAAAAATTGATTCTTATCAGCTTTTCTTTTTTATACATATATCTAGACTGCCATTAGGCACATAGATAACAATGCTTCAAAGAATAATCGTACCTACGCTACTCTTACGATAAGATAAGCAATGAACACAATAACGAAATTGTGTTACAGACGATAAAGTCCTCTCCTCTTTTTTTTTTTCCAGAAGGAAAACAGTGCAATTTGTTCGAGGACGGTGTCGTACGTCGTTATTCCTATCAATGTAAGTGACTTCTCCCCACGGATCTCCTGCATGCATATTCTCTCATCTGTAAATAGGGTAGCTTGATTATAGATTATTTTTTCCGTAGGTCGGAAATGTTTCAAGGGTTTTAATCTTAAGTTCACTTTTATTATCGAGATTTTTTAGTATGTTGCTTCTGGAAAAACTCTGAGGTGTGGAGAAATACACACACACACACATGTATATGTGTGCGCGCGCGCGCGTGTGTGTGTGTGTGTGTGTAACGAGTGAATATTCAATTTGTTTTTCTATGCTTTCGAATCAAACGCAACATCGTGGATTTTTTCCCCTTGCATCATTAATTGTTTATTGCCTAGCATGATTGTACAACAGTTTGGTTTTCAATAATTATGACTAACAACTTTTAAAGAAAGTAACAGTTGTGATAAAAGAAAGATAGTAAAAGATTCTTTACAATTACGCCTTTTGAAAAGTTGGCCAAGTTTGTGGTTGTTTATTGTACTGTGTCGTCATCTCTCCTCGCAAGATATTCTTGTAAAATCATACGCGTTTATAGATAGTGACATTTTGTAAAGGCCATTGCTATCGGCGTATACATTGTAGACCAATGTGGAGCTACGTGCATTTGATATATCGTCTCTTATATTTTCTCGGCGAGATGTGTGAGCCATTCTAAAATTTATCCGGAACAAAACATCGGTATAATTCTTATATATGAAAGAATTATTATCTTTGTGATATATCAACTGAACTATTGCACGTAATACATGAAAGTATCAAGTATTTAATAATCATATGAGCTGTGCCTATGAAAGACAGAATATATCCTTTTCAGTTTACGCTCAATAGTTACTGCAATTCCTACGTGTAACTTATTATTTTATGAAGCAAATTCCATGCTAGCAATTCGTGAATATGTTAAGTACATACGCATTGCCGCATTCCCTTTTTTTTCCGTACATCCACAGTTTCGCAGGATTAGTTCCCGAGAATTAGACGAGACTATAAAATCTCATGTAATATTCATTTGCATAATACTATAGTTTAACGAATCAAGGCGTCATTATCATCCGCACACGTGAAATATATCGCGCATTAGGGTGCGACGAGAATGTATAATGAAATTTCTCATACTTACCAGTTGTATCATCTGATAGTCTAGGCTTTTGTTGTGATTCGGAGTATTCTATATTTCCGGGCAAGACCTAGCTTCGTCAACAACGCCAGCGATATTTCGTATAGTCGAAGAATGGCGATGCAGAAGGTAAATTGCACTGACACATTCACATTTGTTGAATTAACCGAAATGTTGCTTACTCGATAACATATAATATTCGATGTTGAAGCATACTCTTAGAAGAAGTCTCTCTCTCTCTCTCTCTCTGTGTTTCAGTAAAACGATACCTATCAGTCTCTGTAAAAATTATTTCTACAAGAATTTTCTCGTTTCTGCGTTATGTTTTGTGTGTCATCTTATATTCAAGTTATATTCAAATTATTTTAATTTTCTGGTTTCCGTTATGATGCACCTTTCTTAATTTGTAACATATCTCTTTCTTTCTCTCTCTCTCTCTCCCTCTCTCTCTCTCAGCGAAGTAATATAATAATTAGATAGGCAGACAAAAGGTGAAACTGATAATGACAAATATACATTATGCAAGTCAGTATTGCATCACACAAGTCAGTCGTTACTTATATTGGTTGTTAAATGCTATTTAGGCTCGATTTTCTTTGGGTTTTTCTGCTACGCTCCGTGTGAACAATATGTATCTCAAGGACGGTATGATAACGGCAATATTGATTATGAATTTATATAGGCACATCTCAAGAGGGCAGCTATCCCCGTAAAATATTCTTTGCCTCGTCTTGATTTTCAAATTCGCTAACTTTTTGCATTTACATGAAGTAAATGTGTAAACATAATTTTACATATATGTATTATTGGACATTTTACCTGACAAATTGTACACTTTGAAATAAATTTCCTGAAGTAGAATTATGGTGTATAATTGGAAGTGTGCTTTGTGCATATCTTGTTTCGTTTGCTTTGGTGGTATGGAAGGATTTTCTTTAAATTGTTTCTTCGAGAAGTTACTAATATATATGATAATTGTTTATTTATACAAGATTGAGAAGTATTAAAATTTTATGATATATGTAATAAGTACGTCTTTATAGAGAGTAATAATTGTACAAACATGGTACATATCAATGCATACAAACAATCATGTTTATTGATTCCATTTCTTTGTTTAATACATCATACGCAATCTTGTTGCAAATTATGTATTATTTCTCTTTACGTTCTATTTATTTATTACAAGTAATTTGATTAACGTGCATGCTTTGGCTTTAACACTCAATCTCCTGCTGTTAATTAATTAATATATATATACATACATAATGGTATCCTATATACTGAAATTTGGTGCTAATATTACTCAATAATTTTGTAATATTTAAATAGTGCATACTTAGTTGCATGGCTTTGATACAAGCAAAATACCCATATTTATTATCCGACATTATTTATGTCACAATTGATCTGTGCTATTATTGTTGCAACAGTCTTCTGTGTTATATATAAACATTAATTAGTCAGTTATAATATCCCTCTCGTTCAACAAGTCTGTTAGAAAGTTCCGACAATTTGAAGACCTTCGAAAGATTCAAAGAAAAGAGTTTCGAAAGATTTCTGTAAATTATTAATGCTACAGATATAACTGTACTTATGCAGCGAATGTTCAAAGTGATTTTGCACTTTTGTATTTGCAATTGGAATTAATACGATAATAAATATGGGTTTATAAAGTCAAAGTACGTAATACTACAATAGAGTAACATATAGCGATAATATTTTAGATGAGAAGACAAGGCCAAGACGTTATGCAGGTGAACCTAGCAGGTATTAGGCGAGATATAATGAATCTTGCCCATAATTACAGCAATGCTCAGGTAATTGATAAAGCCTTCTTATTAAATATCATCCAAATTGATAAAATATTAATAAACATTGAAGTGACTGTAATAATCGTTATTCCTCCCTGCGTGTAGAAAGCTGTACGAAAAGCTACCAGCAATGATCCCTGGGGTCCAAGTAGTACACTTATGGCGGAAATTGCTGACTTAACGTACAACGTTGTAGCATTTACGGAAATTATGCAAATGCTATGGAAGAGATTAAACGATCATGGGAAAAATTGGCGACACGTATACAAAGCCCTAGTTCTATTAGAATATCTTATTAAGACGGGATCCGAAAAGGTAGCGCAACAGTGCAAAGAAAATATTTTCGCCATCCAAACCTTGAAAGGTAAGCAATGCTCGTAGATTGTACTCTGCGGTGCATCTCGAGTGAAGGATCCATTCTTGTGCTATCAAAGTTCTTCTCTTGTGCTATCAAAGTTCTTTTACTATCAAAGTAAAAAGTTGAAAGCCTGAGATTAAATACTTGAATATTAATAGAATATACAGAAAAGATAAGATGCATCACAATATATTTACAATTAATCAGCAAAAATCACGTTCCAATTATTTTCCAGACTTTCAATACATGGACGGGCATAAAGATCAAGGTATCAACGTGCGGGAAAAAGCAAAACAATTAGTGGCCTTATTAAAAGATGACGAAAGATTGAGGAATGAGCGAGCCAGAGCTTTAAAAGCAAAAGAGAGATTTGCGCAATCGGTCAGTGGTTTTGGAAGCGATGGCTTGGATACCATGTCGCCTGTTAGCAGTGACGTAAGTAATATGTCATGTGATGAATGTTAATATTCGAAACTACAAATTACAATTGTACATAAATGATTAATCTATCGTAGTTTCAGGATTGGGAGCCTTGTCACTTATCCGAGCCATCGTCTAGACGCGCAAGTAAGTTGATCTTAGATTCTCTTGTCATATTTTAGACGGATATTTTTCACCGTTTCGATACACGTCGAATATCGTGTCATCTAAGAACTAACGCGAAAAATGTGTCTTCAGCGGAATTGGAAGCCGCAAGACCGCAAACAGTGGGCGAGGAAGAATTACAGCTACAGTTGGCTCTAGCCATGTCGAGGGAAGAAGCGGAACAAGAGGAACAAAGAAGACGCAGCGATGACGTTAGACTGCAGTTAGCCCTTAGTCAGAGTCAGCAAGACTTCAAGTAAGTAATCCGGCGGTATCCGATCCGGTAATTCGACGGGTGAAAGTACAGTCGGCGTAATAAAGGCGCAACATGTTGTTTTCGACGAACTCGTTTCGTAATGCTTTTTCGCTGTCTAATAGGAATATTCGTTTTTTTCTTAATAATTCTCGAGAAATACATTTTCCTATTGGATACGAAGTGCGTTGCAAAACTCATTGAATAAAACAACGTTGCGTCTTTAACTATGCTGACTGTATGACACCGACCTGATATTCACGGGCCGATGTAACGTGAGCCTGGATTTCAGAGCTCCGCAAGCCGAGAAGCAGAGTCACGTGCTCGATTTGCTGGACGTAGCCCTGGGAGAAGCGAGCGGCCCTTCTGTACAGACCGATCCCTGGGGTATTCCGATAACGGCGCCGCCGCCCAGACCGCAGGTACTTGTTGTTCCCGCCAAAGTATCATTGGAAATTAAACCACCAAGTTTACTTCGCATGATAACATAAACGAGGTTGTGCTGTTTTTGCATGATTTACACTACAGTCTTTGGATTTGTCTGAATATCATAAGTATAAGGTACGTTTTTCGATGAGCGCTCCGGCTCATTTCGAAGAGAATCGTACGGATACGAGATAACGACTTCGGCTTCGGAGCGATTGTAACGGAATAACTGAAAGAAATAACTCGAGGTTCTCGTTCCACAGCCGCAGAACGACCCGTGGAGTGTTCCGACAACGAGTAGCGCGTCACCCGTGATAGACCCGTGGACGCCCGTCCCTCCGCAACGACCAAGTGAGTTTCGTTGCGCGCGACGCAGCGACGTATCTCTCTTACACACGCTTTTGTTTTCTTTTTTTTTTTTATCATTATTTCCCCACATGTTTACACTTTTAACCTAAGTCCCGATTTTTCTATTTCTTTTGCATGTTTGTCGCTTGAAATGATTTCGGACTGTGTGTCACTCAGGATCCTCAGGTACAAACTGATACTTTAATCTTCTCCCCGTGTTTCGTGACTAACAAGTCAATTATCAACGAAGTTGAAGAATTCTTAACACAAAGTCGACGGTAGTCTGTCATTTTTATAGATTACGTTGTGGCAGTTTTCAAATGGCTTCTTGCTTGTTGGAAATTTGCCACTTTCAAGAGTAGTTTCATAAGTCTGATACCCGGATGGATAATGATGCGTTTGACCAGTCTCAAATTACCGCTCAATTACAGCGGCCACTATCGATCCGTGGCGCGCCCCTGCTCCGTCGCCTGCCACAGTGGCGTCTCCACGTACGACGGATCCCTGGTCGCCGGTGCCGAGCACCACTGCCGAACCGGAGGCGAGCAAGCTACAGGTGATTAATCCTCCGATGCTCCCGTGAGTTCCGGGACGCTCGCGAAGACACACCCGATCGACCTGAAGCTCACCTCTTTGCAGGCGGCCCAGGATGGCGTGGCGTCTCCGTCACCAGCCTTCAATAATTCAACACTGACGCAGAACATCGGCTTCGCCGCACAGTCGCCTCAGAACATAAGCTTTAACTTGCCGGCTGTAACCTCCGCCGCCACTAACTTCAGCACCACCAGCAACGGTTTCAACGGGACGGCGCCGGTGCCGCCGCCGCCGCCGCCGGGCTTCATCTTTTCCACGCCGAACAACGGCAGCACCGCCGCGACGAGTCCGCTCAGCGATTTAGACGAGTTCGACGTGATCACCAACAGAGGAAAACTCGGGGCCAGTCCGCAGACGGTGAACAATGGTACGCGCTCGAAGTCGCGCTGAGTCCAGCGAGATCTTTGCAACGATGTGTTATTCTATTCGTCCAAGTTATAAATATAATTTATGTAATAGTATAATAGAATATCGTGCGGTAATATGATAGAATAATAGAATGTAATTGAAAAAACAGGCGGCACATCGTCGGGAGATCCCTTCGACTTGGGAGGCATGGCCGAGAATCTTCCTGCCAGCACTGGCGCGGTGAAGAAAACACCACAGTCCTTCTTGGGGGAGAACTCCGCGCTCGTCAACCTGGATAATCTCGTCAGCGCTTCGGCGATCAAGCCTACCGCTCCCACGCCTGCCGGTAAGTTTTTGTTCTCTTCATGAAACATCAATATCGAGAAAGAGTAGTATCCGGTATTCGGGATATCTCAAGTTCACGCGGTCGAGGAGGTGCGTAGTCTCGCGTAGCCCTTCTTCGATATTACGTTTCCTCAATCCGAAATACCTCCGATCGAGATCTCACGTTCGGCCGAGAAATCATTCAGAACGTCGTCGAGGAAAAGAGGATTCCATATTTTATCCTGTAACTTATTCTGTGCCCGCAAAATAGCGTTTCATTGGAAATAAGTTCGTGAGTATCAACGAAATGATTAAGAGTATGGCATGAATGCATGACTTCAATTACTATGTGCGATATGATTACTATGCTTGTTATGATGGTGTACCTCGTACCTCGTTGTTTCGATACCTTATATTTTGCGGCTGAGATTACTGCGATTTCAATCTTTCTTCGAACATACTTATATTCCAGTACGTTATCTATTAAAAAAAAAATTCCCTCCTTTTTTTTAATAGATAATAAGAATATCAAATAAATAACGTATTTAAATATCCCTCACGCAATCATGTTTTTCTACCTTGTAATATTCTTCTTTTCTGTCTGTGTGGAATGGATAAATGGTGTGAAATCTTGCCATGTATCGAGCATATGCAGAAACCGAGGAGCTTGTTTTCTAAGCCTCGATACCTTGAAATATGAGAAACTTGATCGTTTGACTTCGAAAACAGGAGGCGGGAAGTTCCGTAAATGTAACCTTCTTACTTTTAGAATGACCTTTGCTTTGAACCGTTTAATATGAATCTCTGGAAACCTTTGTGTCGACTTTGTACATACCGGAAAATGAGTGGCCCGAACTGTTTCCACGAGCAATCGTGTCCATTACTTTATGCTAACGAATGTGTATGAATGAATTTGCAGCAACCATGTCGTATTCAGCAAATCCGTTTGCAACTGTGACGCCACCGCCCCGTCCTACAATCAATCAGATTCGACAGGATCCATGGACAGCGAATACAACTACTACGGCTAATCCGTTCCTCTCGTAGCCTGGTCGATCGAAAAAAAAAAAAAAGCTTCAATAGTGATCTACGAGACGTTCGCGGTTCTACATGTAACCCTGTACGGTATAGATTTTGGTTAACGATAAAGTACGACTTCAATTGTGGCAATTACGGGGCGAAAGTTGAGCAAGTAACGAAATCGTGCGAGACGAAAATATTACGGATATTTCGCTGACATTGGGTATATTAAAGCGTTATTTTTCGACGAATTGGATATTGGCAACACATGATCTATGATCGTTGTACAAGGTTCTTCTTTGTTTTGCATGTACTACTCGCTTCGTAAAGTTTATTCCGAAAGTTTAATTACTTGAACGACTAAGTAGAAGTGTGACATACGTGTAATTAAGTGATGAGTGAAAAGATACAATACACACGGCCCACACACACACACATACAACACACACACACACATAAATCATGTTTTAACTTTGAACCCTTACACGATCCCAAGGTACGACTAGATTTTATACACACTACCTTCTCTATATAGTATCTATTTTCTATGTATAAATCGATTCAAGGAAAGAGATTGCTCAGCAGTATCGTCGCTGGCGGGGAGAGAACACACAAAGTAACGCCGGAGTCGAGGGTCGATCTATGTTTATGCGTTTCACATTTGTACACACGCGTTTTCTAACAGCGAAACCGATGAGACCGTGAGACTGTAATCGTGATTTGCAACAAAAAAACAAACAAACAAGAAACATACAAAAACGAGAAAATCTATTATATATCGAACAGGGTTCCGTTCGCGTTATACGCTTATACAAATACGTGTCGATCACGGCTCGTGAGAAATTCATCGTCGTAGCTTGCTTTCTAATTAAGCGATCGTGATACGAGCAGCTGCCGTGTTACATAAGTAAAGAGAAAAACAAAAGTGTGCGCGTATTTCTTACATAGTTGTACACATAGCCGGTCATTCGCGAATGACGTACTGCGACCTATGACACACCAAGGCACGTCTAAACGAACATGCAACTGTGAAAGTAGCATTCACACTGATAACAACGTAGGACCTAGGGGAGGAAGGGGAGGGTTAATCCATGTATCGTTTTCAGTGTCAATCTAAGAATCTCGATTTCGATCGAGCAATGGGGGGGGGGAGGTGATTTTCGCGCGGATTTTTGACGTAGATAGATATCTTGAAAAATCAAACTCCAGAGCGACAGGAACAGTGTCTCTCGTCTACCCGAGAAGATCGCCGATATTTAGATGAAAATAATAAGCGGGATAATTTCCAACTCTACGGGGTTATTTTCGATTAAACCGATTCACGCGCCCGGCACTTCCGAGATTGCGAGCGAAACTGCTTGGCGCGGTTACAGCAAGGCTACACGACATTCTTGCCTATTTGCTACATCATATTTTCTAAATTTGCACGACTCGGAATCACGAGGTCAGATTACGAGTGAAAAAAAAAAAGAAACATCGCAATTGTGTCTGTCTTGATTTAAAATAAGGGATGTAAATATAAAAATTCAGCATATCGTTCCCCGCTTGTCAAATGTTTGTAGTGTTCTTTAATAACGAATAACGTAGGTAATTTTTTCATGACACTCGTGAAAGCTGTAACTCGCGACGTCACTATGTATCACTATGTCGCGATCTGCGTTTGCAGAAAAATTTGCTGAGCTGTTCCCTAGACAAACAAGTACCACTCTTCGTAGCCGCCGCCGGGTATTCCGATCGCGTCGGGCGATATTATTCGCGTCGCACGCGCGGATGTTTTACCGTGTATAGAATCGAGTCGCGATTGAAACGCAACCTACCCCAAAGAGAATCATCGCACCCTCACGCGCACCTCAGCATCTTTTTCTTCGAAATGACAACGCATTTTGCAGTTTTATACAAAGAGAACTTTTTCACTATACAGCATTGACAAAGGGGAACTATATTCGCCTATTTATCCAAATACATCAGAAGTTGCACGATTTAAGCTGTTCCAAGTAAACGTCGAGCAAATATAATTCCAGTGTATTATTTATATCGTTAAAATCAGTAATTTCTGTTGGCTTTATGCAGTTTTAACACATACATTGCTTATATGAGTGAAACTGTATATTTCATACGTATTTATATCCAGGTGTTCGCCGAGATATGAAGTCAAATTGCATGGACACGCACCGCGTTGTGATCGCTCTGCGTAAGAATTTTATTGTACAATTATTGTATCTAGCAATTTTTATCGGGAATACGAATAACTATAATTGATTATCATGCCTGTTGTATGTAGGATGATGTATTTCCAGGGCATCCTATATCTCTCAATTTTATATATCTATATATTTTTTTACCAACTTGATTTACTCACGTAACGAATCTATGGATCATGATGATATACACATACACACACACACACAGCTTCATCTCTGTGCGAACAGTGGAGTATTTTTGTTTAGCTTTTAGAGCCAATGTAATTGCAAGGAAATTCAAAGAACATTTATGAAAATAAATATTATATATTTTAGTAGATTATATGATATACTTATTAATATTATATACAAATAAATGTAAAAAATTTTTAAGTTTTCTCATTAAATATTTAATTTAAAATTCCTTTGGTTCTTTTCTTTTTCGGAAAAGTTGTACATATTGAATTTAATTAGGTTAAAAAAGCTGAAATTTACATATTTAAAACAACGGAAATTGTTCTGTAAAAAAAAATTGAAGAAACATTGCGGAACTTTCATTGATCCTTTAATAAAAAGAAAGATGTCTGCATCTACACTTTCATATAAATACCCTTATTAGAGATAGTATATCTTTCATATGTAACATAACAATATAATTGATCAATTATCGCAATATTTTATTTATTAAAGTATTAAAATATATATATGTATACATATATATATATAAACAAAATATATAAAACACATTTATTTTCATAATACACGTACGTTAATTTTTTTTAAGTTGTATAAATTGTTCTTATATGTTTAAGACAGTCTTAAAATAAAAAATGGTGTATATATGAACTACAAAATATAATTTATATATGTATAGTAAATTTACTTTTAAAGAAATGCTTCACTTGGAATATCTATCGAAACTGGTGGTAGAAAATATGAACGAACCTGGTTATGTAATTGTGCTACCTCAGGATCTTCTCTCTCAAAAGCTCTGATCATCTGTGCAAACTGTACAGCTCCTGTTTAAACATATATATATATATATACAATTAATTTTTTACTTCTTTTCGTTAGCGTACTTTCAATTATATACCTTCTCTTCCTTCTGGGAATCCATAATTTTTGATAACATCAATCTGAATCTCTATTACTAATGGAAATACAAACTGCATTTTCTTCAACATCTCATTACCAGATTTCTCATTAGCTTCTGTGAGCTTCTCCAAGTTTTTCGGTGTATTCAATGCTTTCAGAATATCTGTCAGTATAGCTAGAAATAAAACGAGATATTTACTGATATTATCACTAATTTGAAACAATGATATAGTATATAATTATCAATTATAGCAATGCATATCAATTTTAGTTTAACACTGTCAATACCTTTCGCAGTTTCTACTGTAACAGTAGGAAGAGCAGTTGCCATAGTGCACTGTATCTTATCCTTCTTTTTAAAATGTTCAGCTTACATAAAGTATTGATCTGTGACAGACATTATTTAAATCCACATAATGGATTTTTCCAAAAAAATTTTCCCACCAACGGAGGGAAATGTTCAAAAACTTATTGCAGACAATTTGAAAGGTGGAAATTCAAGCGTTAAATATATATCTCACCTGAAAGCATTTAACCTTGTCTTGAAATCGCACCAAATCGCTCAGTTATAAATCTTTCTTGTGATTCAATGAATCTAACTATATATAAATTGACAAATCATTGCTCTCCTTTCTAACAATATCACACACAATTTAATAGAAATTTGATTCAGTTCACGCAACAACTGGTTATTATTTCTTTTTGAATATATTTTGATTATTATATCTTATTTTGCTTATAATTGATATATTTAATCTACGACAGCTGTCATCAGCGGAACATATTTCCTGTACTTCCGGTACTTCCTATACTTCCTTTTGTCCACCTTAGGGCAGCGGTTTGTTCCTCATAGAGAGGCTTTTTATTGCGAAATCCTCAGTTCTGCCATTTTTGAACACATAAGGAACTAGACCAATCAGTAAGAAGTTGAAGGTATCCAGACTTCACGGATCCTATATATATCTACACTAAAAATCGACTGCTGAATGCACCTGAATGTACAAGTGCAGCTAAAATAAACAATACCTATATGATGTATTTCATGAAGATGGCTGTAATTTATTAACCAAGTATCAATTGTAAATAAATCAAAATACGATAATTCAAATAACAATAATCAAGAAAAAAATAATAACTAACTGTTATGTAACTGAATCAAATATTTTGTGTGCTAACGTGATATCGGAATAAGAGTGATAATTACTTTAATGTTATTTGTGTAATTCTGATATATAATTTGCAATATAGTTATATAATAACTGTTAGTGTTATAACTATTAATGTTATAATTAGTGTTATAACTATTAGTTCTATGATAGTTTACTACTTATAATTATATGTATTGCTGATGAATTAACGTTAATTTAACATAACCTTATTACATTCAACTTCATTTAACCTGATAAAAAGGAAATTATGATCGTTATATGTTTATGTTGATTTTCGTTTTGGAGCAATCTTGTTGATTCGAGCGAATATATTGTCAAAGTAAGTTTAAATTATTTATTTCTCCCGTTTACTTAAACATTTCTTAAGTTATTGACAAATATTTTTAGGATCCCATAACATTTTCGCTCAGTCATGGCATCGGATCATGATCAGGTTTTTTTGCAAATACTTCACGAGGAAAAGAACATTGTTAATTTCTTGGATGTCTTTTTCGGATTTTTATACAGATGGTGAGTATACTACTAAAAGTATCAATACTTATATTATCCCCCGATGCTTCAAATATTTTCTTTAATAATCAGATTCCTTTCTATGGTGATATTTTGTGATATTAGCACAGACTTTTATCTTGAATCAAACTCGGAACAAAAACTGGGCTTTCCACCTGGAGTAGCAGAGAAACTTGTATTAAATAGCATGTACAAGTGGAAGAGTACTTCGTCAGCTTTGAAAGAAACCACACCAAATACAGCCAGCAACAGTTTATTCGAATCAAACGAATTAACTGCGACACGAAATGACAATTGCAGGCTTAGCCCTCCTGTTGCTCAAGAAATCGAAATTAGCTCTTGTAACGAGCCTGACACCACTAATGTACATTCTATGCCATCGCTCAAAACAGATCATACCTCTGATAGCTACAATGGCGCTGTAAGAGAGAACTATGTTTGGACCCAGACTCTCGACGACTTGGATGTACTAATAAAAATACCAGAGCATGTAAAGACATCCAAGCAAACTAGAGTCAACATTAGTTCGGATGAGATAAAAATTGACGTCAAGCCTTTCGATTCTATGGAAGATTCCGTGTGGAATAACATTTTCGATGGCAAGCTCAGTTTTAAGGTCCGAAGAGATGAATCTGTATGGAGCATTGTATCTGGAAAACACATCAGTGTGCGTTTGTAATAGACGAGAATATTCTATGGAATATTATTCAACATGTATCTGATTTGCGATTGTTGACATGTAATTATTCATCTGTTCACTTACAGATTCATCTCGAGAAGGCTGCCGGAAGATGGTGGGAGGCCCTGATAGTTGATGAGCCAAAAATTGAATTGAGCAAAATCGACTGTACAAAATATTTCGATGATATGGCGCAGGATGAACAAATGAAAGTGCAGGAATTGATGTGGAATCATCAACAGAAGCTCTTGGGCAAACCGACGTCCGAGCAAATTGTAAGATTTGTCAGTATATATATACAATTATTATATATATTATTATATTAAACCATCGTTAGATAGCAGTTATTCATTACGATAATTTGCAAACGGTACTTGTAGAAGATGGAAGCTACTCTGAAACAGGCGTGGAATGCGAAAGGATCACCCTTTCAGGGCACACCTTACGATCCTTCCGTTTTAAAATTTAATT